ATAGATAGATAGATAGATAGATAGATAGATAGATAGATAGATAGATATGATAAAGAAAATAGACAATCACTGTTATTCCATTGAATAGGTAATAATGGTAATTATCCATTTCTATCATCTATCTATCATCTTTGTGTCTCTCTATCTCGGTCTATCAATTGATTTATTGATGTATCGATCTCTCTGTCTGTATCTCTCTCTTTGTGTGTCATAATAAAATGATCCATGTGTGTGTATCCAAGTAATATTTGTTGCGTTTATTACTCATTTGCAGCATTACAAGGTCACCCAACCATATATTAAACTCCCTACTTTCGTTTATGTACAAGGCATGCTACCTCATTCCAAAATTGTCCATCAGGAATGAAATAATGAGGTAATAACAGTTTTAAAACTTTACAGTTTCCACTGTTCCTAAGAAGCGACGTCTTAAAATAATTTCATTTCGGTGTTTACCTCAGCAGAGTACAAGAATTCAGAAGTCGAAGTTTCTACAAAGGGCATTATAGATAAGTTTGCATAATTCTCTTTTGACGTGTGTTTGGCCATCATAGTAAAGTACGCCAAATGATTCTGTGTATCGCATAACTTTCCAAAGAGTTACAGTCTAATGGCAAATTAAACGGGGTTCTGTTCCAATAGCTATTATTTGCCTTCAATTTAAGGAAGCCGTAAACTTGAACCCTTTCCTTTGGTTTTTAATGATACGAGGATCTAACTTCGCCCTCCCTCCAAGTTTTTATTCCATTTATAACTCTGTAAGTTGCACGACTGTTCTTTTTATTAGAGAGAGGAAACTTTCCAAGGGCAACTTCGCTCAGAAGCTGAAATAGTCATTTATATTATCAAAACATTTCTGCAGATGATAAAGCAGGACCTAAATTATTCCCAAAAGTCTCAAAAAAAAACCCCACATTGATACTGCTGAGATAATTGGGGGGAAAAAAGAGTACAGTATGAGTTTTGGTCAACGTTTGGAGAATGGCCAATGCCTTCAGGAGGATGAGCGAAGAGAAATATTAGAATTGTTTGCATAAACCGCTCGAAATAGTTCTTGGTGGAGTCATAACGCCGCCTGGCATCCAAGTAGAATGGGAAGAATTCCAAACTTGGAATTCCGTTTGTGCAAGACACAGTTGGTGGACAGGCACTAAAATCCCTGGAACGGATTAAATTAAGGACTAAACTTTAACAGCCTAAGATACTGGCTACATAGCTTCAAAGGATATAATTTCCTGTGTCAAACGGATCTATTATTTACTCTACCGTTTCGAATATGTGCAGCATTCGAGAGTATATCTAATATAGGAAGCGTTTTAGATGGTGGGGCAGCTTTCCTAGGATCTGCGTTGATCGACGGTCCGTGCCATCTTGAAAGCGACCGCTTGGCTCCTTGTTTTCCAGGCCAAAAAAGAGAGAGAAAAGCCGCTTGTTTTGGTTCTAGATCGATTCTGGAACGGTCCAATATCCAGGTCTCCTTGTCCAGCAGTCAGTGTGTACAAGATTATCTTACATTCTTTGTTGCCGAGAGGATGGGTTGCATGGGAAAGACATCACTCTCGGCCCGTCGGGAGGGGACTCCCTTTAGTGGAACGTGTTCGGGTTTGGTCTAATCATCATTGTCACTTTTTTCAGGGAATACGACCCTCCCCGGAACTCTGCCCAGTAGACTCCATCTTGGTAGCGGCTCCGGTAATGGCCCCCTCGGTACCAGACGCCGTTGAGGTTGGAGTGGGCGCACGCGTTATACCACCAGCCCCCTTTCTGATAGTGGGCGCAGTTGCCTGGAAGAGAAATAAGGAAACCACGTTCTGAATGGAGACATTTCCCTGATGGGGAGGATGATCCCTCAGTGGAACGGAAGTGGCTGCCAGAGGTTGTGGCTGCTCCGTCACTGGGGGCTTTCAAGAAGAGACTGGACAAACACTTGCCTGGAAAGGATATAGGGCAGGGGGTTGGACTAGAAGACCTCCAAGGTCCCTTCCAATATTTATTGGGTCCAAGCACACTTGGCCAATAAAGAATATTCTGTTCTGTTCCATCCCTACCCTACCCTACCCTATCCTTAATTCATATTCTATTCTATTCTTAATTCATATTCTGTGGTGTTCTGTTCTGCTCTCTACTCTACTCTACTCTACTCTACTCTACTCTACACTGTACTGTACTCTACTCTACTCTACTCTTAATTCATATTCTATTCTATTGTAATCCATGTTCTATTCTGTCCTATTCTTAATTCATATTCTATTCTACTCTTAATTCATATTCTATTCTATTCTTAATTCATTTTCTATTCCATTTCATTCTCATCTAAGATAACTTTAATGCACGTCCCCACTGAATTCACTGCAGATTTTTGTACCTGTGTATACATCATGGTCTCTATCCAGCGTGGTGAATTGTTTGCCGTTGTGCCACGTAAAGGAATCTCCCGCATTGCCGTTGTATCGTCCTACTCGCAACTTGTAGAATTCACTTTCCGGCTCCAGACGGAAGCTGGCATATTCTGCGAAAACTTTGCGTCCTGTCCAGTCCTCCATGGTTATCAACAACTTGTAGTTGCCTTGGTTTGTCAGCCAGTAAATGTTTTCCAGCCCCAGCCAGTACTCTCCGTCGATGTTACCAAACCCTTGCTATGAAACAAAAATTAAAATTATCCCCTAGTATTGATTTTACAAAAAGATTTGCAAGTTCCAGGTAGCCATGATCTCGCACTTGTTAAATTTCCATGCCTCTCAATGTTTTGAGGGCCAAGGTAATTGTAATTTTGAGTTGTACACCCCACCATCGGTCTAAGCAGTCTCTAAATTTGATAAATAAATAAAATTGGGCAGCCAATATTCGATTCTCAGATTCCCTCAAAAGATTTAAGACTTATTAGAGGGAATCCAGTCTAAATTCCTTCAAACAATTTTGATTTGATCTAGGTGATTATTAAGTGTTGTAATGAACCTAGAAACTAGATTGGCTTCATAGATACTGTGATATACCTTGTATTCATTGATTGATTGATTGATTCATTCATTCATTCATTCATTCATTCATTCGATTTGTATAACTGCTTATTGTACTTAGACGACCCTGCAGGTTTTAATTTTATTTTTCCTACTTATTTAAAATCTTGGATAGTCCTGACTGATGTGAGCCATTCAAATTCACTGCTATGATTTTTTTTTTTAAAGAATTGTCTGTCTCCCTTGATTTAAAGAGAGATAAGGCAAGCTATTAATAAAGAGCATGGATGGGATCCTAAACATTCTCTATCAATGGATATCAATATCTATTTTATTCTAACCCCTTATTTATTTCATTAGATGCTACTAAAACCCTGTCAGTGTTTCACGCTTTACGGTTCTTCCCTGGATGATGTCAAGATTAGGTAGATTACCTGTGATGCAAGGATGGAATTTAGGCTGTAGAACAGTTTCATAAATAGCTGTCAGTTCATTCTGCTGCATATATTTGAGAGGTGGCCTCTATTCTTCTACCCCAGTCACCAGTGTCTCTGACAACATCTCAAGCATTATGGTGTTTGGTGCAAAAGATCAGGACTGTACATTATGTGGCAGCACAGAAGTTTTCTTCAAACCTCCTGCCTAGGCAAGAATGTAGTCAACTAACTGTCAGCACTAAATTGGCATTAGATTAAGGTCAATACAATTCAAGAGGGATTGGATTGTTTGTGGCAACATAAGGATTCTAAGCTGATGACATGTTTAACTCCGCCTTCCAGCCTGCCTGCTCTTGTCCTACTTCTGCCATTCTTTCACTGTGAGAACCAGACCTACGGAGTCGAATGCTCTTAAACATTCTTGACGAATTCCCCTCGGGGAAAAAACAACCATGACTCTGCAGAAGATTTTCTCCCTTGCCGAACGGCGCCATTGTTTGGCCTCACCTTATAGGTTTCCCAGTTCCTAAAGAAATTAACCGAGCCATCCAAACGCCTTTGAATCACAGTCCAGCCACCGGGATCTTGCCGCTGATCGCACCAGACTTGCATCAATCGGTTGGTATTCTCAGGTTTGACCAGATATATGGAGCTGGTCCCATGGCCGTCTTCTAAAGCTTGTAAACAGTCTCGCCAAGGACCTGGTGGAAAATAAGAGACACCATATGTTCTTTCTTATAAGGCCCATCATCTCAGTTCTCGACAGAGTCAAACAGAGTCAAACTCTTCTTTGTGGCAACCCCTGAGATATTGGAAGACTGCTATCATGTCACCCCTGGTCCTTCTCTTCACTAGACTAGACGTACCCAATTCCTGCGGGCCGCAGGGCAGGGTTAGGGACCCCTTGCGTAAAACCTGCTCTTGTTCAGAAAGGAAATCTGCTTATTTTTGCTCAAAATCCGGCACCTTCCAATATTTAATCATTTAATTGTGCATTTGTTGTTAGCACCACAGGCCTTACCGACCGCCTCAGTGCAAAACATCTTGTACTTACATTCAGAGATATGTCCGCCTTTTGGTTTAGACCTTTAAAAAGAAAGGATATAACTGGCTGGCCTTTCTAGATGCTCGGTGTGTGTTTGTCCTTCTGCACTTGTATAAGCCACACTTCGTACACTAAGCGTCCCACAAGAGGCAGGAGTAGGAGCAGGCTCCATTTAACAAAAATATCTTTTTTCAAAAAAAATAAAAACCCATCATTTCATATATTAATGGTATCTGACTAGATCTGGCAACTGGAGCTGTGGGAGTCCTGGATTTCTGAATTATTTCCTAAAGGCAAAGAGTTTTCCATCCTTTAAAACAAAAAAAAAAACCCAAAATCCGAGGGAGAATTGAACTCTTTCAGTCTGAAAGAGTTAATTTGTCCTGCCAGTTGAACACATCACAAATCAAAGCGTGTGTTTCCCGTCTCTGGAGAGTTTTCCCCAATTAAGATGAAAAAAATGGCTGTTGATGATTTCATGTAGAAGTTTTGTTTGACTAAGAGTCCTGTTCTCTTTCATCATCCTTTAAAAAGTTTCTTAGGTGAAGGAGGAGCGGGGAAAAAAAAAGTGCTTTTCATAGTTGTTTTTAAGAACTCCACCTCTTATAAGAATTCTCTCGCGCACTAGTTTCTCCTTCTGTGAATCCCACTTACCATTCCTTTGGGCTTATTAATCTAATTGTTCAGGATCAATAAAGAGAGTTTGTTTGTCTTCTGAACTGTAATAGCCCCTTCTCTTTCCCCCTGACAAGCCCAGGGTTCTTTCCCCCAGATTTAAAAACCTTATGGCCAAAAAGAGAAAAGAAAAGAAGTATATTAAAATATCAGAAGGAGAGATGCGAAGCAGGGCATGCCGTGACATTAGGAGAGTAGCTGGGAGGGTTGCTTTTTTCTTTTTCTTTCTTTCTTTCTGGCTGGTGAAACGTTCCCAGCGTAGCCTTTAGCTCCTAGGAAGTTTTCCATAATTGAAGAAAGGAAAATACAGCTCTCCGTGTGTTCCCATCCAAAGAGTAGGAGGAGGTAAGCCTCCCTAAGGAACTATGTGTTAAGATGGAGGGAAAGCAGATCGCTGTTCGTGCCAAGCAGAATGGAAGGTAGAATTGGAAAGGGAAGAGAGAGGAAGGAAGGGAGGGAAGGAAGGAGATAGAAGGAGGAAAGGAAGGAAGTTGGAAAGAGGAAGGAAGGAGATGAAGAGAAAGGAGGGAGGAAGGAGCTGAAAAGAGGGAGAGAGGAAGAGAAGCAAGGAGAGGGAGGTACTGAGGGATGGAGGGGGAAGGAAGATGGAAAGAGAAAGGATGGAAGGAAGGAAGGAAGTTGGAAAGAGGAAGGAAGGAGATGAAGAGAAGGGAGGGAGGGAGGTACTGAGTGATGGACTGAAGGAAGGAAGGAAATGGGAAGGAAGGAGATGAAAATGGGAGGGAGAGAAGGAAGGAGAGGGAGGGACGAAGGGAGAGAAGGAAAGAAGGAAGAAAAGGAAGGAGATGAAAAACCAGAGTCAGTTAACAGCCATCTTACTAACTCAACAACAATTCATGAAACAACCACGTCAAGAAAGGTCGTGAAAGTGGGGGAAACTCACTTAACAACCGTCTCGCTTAGCAGTAGAAACCGTTGCCAAGGACCACTGCGATGCCAATACTATGACCGTCTGGGAGCCCTGGAAGAGAAAGGCGGGGGGGGGGCTCTCTTGGCGGCCGTATGCCGAGGGCTTCCTGCGTCCGGTCCATAGCCCCCGATCGGTCAACCTACCTGAGGGCTTGTCGGTCGATGTCGGGACGCTGGTGACGGGCGGCATGGTCGGGAGGCTGGGCGGCAGAGCCTTTAAGTTCTGGTCGCTCTGAATTTCGTTGGTGGAGATCTGGTTGGTGATGCGGTTGTAGGTGGGCGGCTGGTAGACGCGGTTGGGGGGCTGCGGCGGTTGCAGGGCCGGCATCCTCTGGCAGTGCTCTTCCAGCTGGGCGATCACCGTGGACTGGTTGTTGGCGATGGCGACCAGGTGCTGGTACTTGTGCTCCAGGTCCTTGTACCTGCTGGCCAGCTGCAGCATGTCGGCCGTCTGGTTCAGGATCTTGTTCTCCAGCTGGGAGAGCTCCAGCGCGTTGTCCCTCTTCCGGATGATCTCGTGCAGCAGCTGCATGTAGAGCTGGGTGACGCGGGAGTTCATGTTGCGGCTCTCTTTCCGCAGCAGCTTGACCTCGTTCACAATGCCGCCATCCACCTCCACCAGCTGCTGGAGGGTTTCGATCTGCCGCTTCTGCTTCAGGAGCTCGTGGTTGAGGAGCTCCAGCTCCTGCTTGTGGACCCTGTTCTCCAGGAGGGGGCCGTCGGGCTCCTTGGAGTTCACACAAATGGCCCCCGTGACTTTTTGCTGCGGGACGATGAACGTGTAGGTGCACTTCTCCTGCGCCTCGCTGGAGCGCCTGTGTCGGTTTCCGTAAATGAATCTTTGTGTCTCTCCCGCGACGCGGCTTCCGACACCTTCGGGCCCCTGAGCTTTGAGTCCCACAGCGGCCACTAGCAGCAAGCAAACCGCTGCCTCCATTGTCCTTATTTCGCGAGGGGAGATTTTCCTTATATTATCTACAGTAAACGTAAAACAAATGGGAATATCCAGTAGCGATACCAATAGCCTTGAGATGTACAGACCTCAGTGCTTGACAGGCCGCTCTTAAGCGGTTGACAGAGTCAGCCTCTGGCCCCCAAGAATCTGGCCCCTCATTTCATCGACCTCAGAGAGGTGGAAGGAAAGCTATGAGCTGGTCAGAATCGAACTGCTGGCAGTGAGCAGTGACCATAGGAAGGGAAGGGAGGGAGGAAGGAAGGGGGAGGGAGGGAAGGAGGAAGGAAACAGGGAGGGAAGAAGGAAGGAAGCGTGGGAAAAGAGGGAGAGGAAGGAGAAAGAGAAGGAAGGAGAAAAGAGGGAGAGAAAGAAAGAAGGGAAGGAAGCAATAGCAATAACACTTAGTCTTATATACCGCTTCACCGTGCTTTTACAGCCCTCTCTAAGCGGTTTACAGAGTCAGCCTTTTGCCCCCAACCATCTGTGTCCTCATTTTACCCACCTCAGAAGGAGGGAAGGCTGAGTCAACCTTGAGCCTGGTGAGATTTGAACTGCCAAATTGCAGGCAGCTGGTAGTCAGCAGAAGGAGCCTGCAGTACTGCGCCCTAACACTCCACCACCGTGGCTCTTGTCCACAGTAAATGTCTGTGGAGATACTCAGTCATCCAGGTCATCCCAAAGATGCTTTTTCAAGCGGCAACTGGAGTTTCTGGTTTTTCTCTGAAGCTGTTTCACTTCTCATCCGAAAAGCTTCTTCAGATCTGACTGGATGCTGGGGAATGGAGAGATTTATACTCCTTGCAGAGAGCTGGTCATTTACATTCTTTTTATAGCATCGTTGAGGCCACTTGGAGGTTCATCTGGGTCCTCAGGGCCACCTGTGTGGTGCAAAGTAAGGACACAGACAAACCTCCAAGGGCCCACAAAGCCATTCTTAAAGGATGCAAATGACCGGCTGTCTGCCAGGAAGATAAACCCCTTCCTTCCCCTAGTCAGAGCTGAAGAAGCTTTTTGGATGAGAAGTGAAACGTCTTCAGAGAAAAACAAGGAAGTCCAGTTGCCCCTTGAAAAATGCACCTTTGGGATGAATATCCGATAGCACGCAGAGCCAGCAAAACAGCACGACATGTGTTAACATTGGTTGATCTTTAGCGAATGCCTCTAAGTGTGGAATTATTGCTCTAAACCATGGCAGAATTTAAAAGACCCAGAAACACTTGTTCCTTTGTTGAACAAGAAGAATTCGTTTCTAAATTTGGCCTGACTGAACCTTCCGCAACTGGGAAACCACTTTATTAAGTAGGGTTTAACAGGGCTGTGGTTCATTTAGTGGCGACATTAAGCCTGCCTTGGACTAGCTAGCTGGGGAGTTCTGGGAGTGGAAGTCCAGGCAGCGTTAAGATTTCCAGGTTTGGAAAAACATTGTTGGAGATGCTTAGAAGTATAATTATAATCAGGGGTGGGATTCTACCGGTTTGGACCAGTTCCATAGAACTGGTTGTTATGATTCTGCGCAGTTTGGACAACCGCCAAATTGTGGCCCTGGCTGGTCCCTCCCCTCTCCACCCAGTCAGTCCTTATCACGCCTGCCCGACATCGCTGACTGTGTTCTCCCCTTCCCGGCTACTCCTTAAGGTATTTCTTTCTCCCCCCCCCTCCCAACGATCAGCTGTTCCGATGATCAGCTGTTTCTCACCCAGGAGGCTTCCCCAAGGCCCAGAAGGCAAAAATAAAAAATGGGGGGGTGGGTTGCTGCAAAAAAAGAGAGCCACGCCCACGCAGTCACATGGCCATGCCCACCTGGCCACGCCCACGGAACCAGTTGTTAAAATTATTTGAATCCCACCCCTGATTATAATCCCATTTGGAGTCAAGCTTTGAGGGCCGCCCACATGGACCTTCTCAGGTTCCCACCGAATATAAGACCTAACGGCACTTTGTGGTTAAAAGCAGGAAGCCAGGTCTCCCCAAAACTCTGGAGAATGTGCGAGATGATGGAACAGAATAGCCTTGCATCAAAGCTTCCTCCGGCCGGTTAAGAAGTGTATCAACAGGAAAAGGAAGCAAAGAAATCACAGCCTCTGCTGCCCCGAGGGAGGGGGAATCCTTGAAAATGGAATTTGAAGTCCTCCCCGTATTATACTTGGCTTCAGAGAGATAGTGGAGTCCATTCTCAGCTTGATTCAATTCTTTCTTTCTTTCTTTCTTTCTTTCTTTCTTTCTTTCTTTCTTTCTTTCTTTCTTTCTTTCTTTCTTTCTTTCTTTCTTTCTTTCTTTCTCTCTCTCTCTCTCTCTCTCTCTCTCTCTCTCTCTCTCTCTCTCT